AGCTCCTGCACTAGGATTCGCTTCCCCCTTCATCTGATGTTACTAGCCGTTCCCCCAAAAATCTTTCTTTTCTGTTCTTGGTTTTGGTCTATTTTTATATCCTCCTTTATTTAACTTCCTGGCTCCCTTTGGTTTTCCCTCCCTCACTTCAAAAACTGGCGGTGCTTCTTGTATTCCAATTAATCCCAGTTTGCTTCATAGATCTTACGTATACGTGCAGCCATCATTTAACCTATGACTGGCATGCAGCCTTTTTTGGAATTAAAGTCAGGCATGTCTTCAGAACACTGGTTAGAAATCCTGCACTTTACTGTATCTGCTTGTTGTGGAGGGTTTGTGGTTTTCTTTCACCCTCCCTTCCTCTCTCCCTGTGTCTACAGTAGGGTTTCTGCCACTACAGGTGGATTAACAATTGATGTTTTGTTTTCTCTTCCAAAAGACATTGCTATTCTGACATCTTAAATCAGGTTTTGGCACATACGATGCCAACAGTCTAGAGAGGAAACCGAAGAACACTACAGCCTGCATTTCAAAGAGCTGGTGTTGATGGCGAATACCCAAGCTGAGTGAGGACAGGGAATGCTGTCAAACCAATATGGCCCTCCAGTCTGCTGGGGACTGTAATCTTTGCTTTACCTCTTTAATTTCTACTTTTCAGCAAGTGCCACGCAGGGAATTATTTTTAGATGCAGTTCTTTGCTGCAGCAGCTCTGCAAAGAAGGAACTTGTTCAGCTGTGTAGAAGCAGGTATAAATGGAGAAGAGCTTCTGCACCATTTCATTGCAGAACACATTCAAGTACAAGGTTTGTTTGTGGGGTTGCGGTCATACCGTATACCCTGATGTGAAACTTTGTGCTGTGCTTGTCCATTAAGAAGAGAAGTTCAGCATTAGGACTTTAGTGCAAAACCATCCAAAACTCTTGTCCCTGTGGTCTGACATGCAGTGTAACCTTGATCTCTGACACAGCAGTTCCTTGCTGTGCTAGTAGTACAAGTCGCTGGACATGCAGATGCATTCATTTCCCTCCGCTGAATTATGAATGAAAAGATGTACCTTCTGAATCATAAATCGCATTGCAGACAGCTTTCAAAAGAGAGACTATATACTTGGTGAAGTTGCAGATTAGGAAAGCAACTAATGCATCATGTCTTATCCTACGTAATGGGTTAAATTTTGATCTCTGAAACAAGCATTGCCCTGGGGAAATGCAGTTCTTGGGATCATCCTTGATGTGTGAAAGAGGGAAACTGGCTTTAGAAACATCTTCTGTAGGCGATGGGCTCAGTCCAGTTGGATAGTGAGGCTCGTTCTTCTTCAACTGGCATTGGGCACAACGAGTCCTTCCCCGTTAAGCAGAGCCAAAGGACAAGTGTAATTTAAAGAATATGCATATCATTTCAATAAATATATGTGTGTACTCAGTTGTTTTTTCTGAACCAGGGTCTTAATTCTGCTGGGAGACAGTAAGAGGTGGTACGTCAAAGACTGATTATACTTAAGCTTGTATGTTACTCCATTAATAAGCTGATTTTATTGTCTTCTTTTGCCTGCTAATAAATATGGCTTTTGTAGGTAGGTTAATTTTCGTGTAATTGGAATGGATGTTGGTAGAAGTTGTGTGTTTTTTTTCATAGCACATTGAATCAGGAACAAGAGGTGAGCAGAGCTTCTACTATCAGCAAATGGGCCGTTTGTTCTTCCAGTCTTTTTTAGAGCTGCTGGGGAATACAAAGAGCAGGTTGTTCTGGCATGATCCTTGATTCCAGACTGCTAAATATGGGTACATGTGTCCGTGTACACAAAAACTAAGCTCTCCTTTGGTTTTATGAGTAAAAAGTGAAAGGGCTGCTAGGGTCAGATCTCAAAGGGATTTTCCTCTGAGTGTGATACTGGTTTAGCTTCACAGATCCACCCAGCAACTTAGCCTTGGATGAGTTGCTTTGGAAAGCTTACTGGCTGTTGTAAAATGGAGCTTCTCTAAACACAGCTGTAGTGAGAGGCTCCTCCATCCTTTGCATCATTGTTTTCAGACATTTGAAAGTGCAATCACCTGTGTAGGAGATGTCTCTTTGATGGCATGGGTTTTTGCCATTCAGTGGTCTCAGGAGCTTCATAAACATTCAGCAGTTGAGCCTTTCTGTCTTCCAGCTGGTACTTTAACCCTCTTCTGCAAGAAGAAAAGCTCAGTCACTAAGACTTTAAAAATGATGCTGACTTGTAGCCTAGACAATTTAGAGATTTTAAAAAAAAAAAAAAGTAAATTCAGGTACTACGCTCACTGTATGGATGCTGTTTTAATTTTGGTGGTTTGAATGACCATAATTAAATATTTGAAAATAGTCTTTTCCCATCTCTTCTGTCTCTGAGGAAAACAGATGCAAAATAAGCGAGGCAAGGATGGGCATGGGGAAGGTGGGCTCTCTCTTTTAATTTAACTTTTAATACAAGTTAAGCTCTTGGGGCTTTATCTGGGAGGTGGCTTTGGGGCCAGAGGCTGGCCTGGTGCATCCACTCCCCATCATGCTTGTGGTCAGGTGTAGGTGTCTGGGCAATGCTGACAGAACCAGTGTGTGGAGGCAGGGATAAAACACTGCTCACATCCCTAGAATCCTTCCTTTTTTTTTGGCCATAATTGCCTCAGGAAAGGCTACAAGATGGCAGTCCCCCAGTGACGTTGGGAGCTCATTCCTTCTGTTTCACAGATCTGAGCATGACTCTTTCTTTTAAAATGCGGAGTGGCAGGTATGGGTGGGAAGCTTTTTTATTTGCCAGCACAGGTTGCCCACAAAGGGAGAGGTCAGTGTTCAGTTGCCACCTCCACCTCCTTCCTTCTAGACTTATGGGCTCTGTTTCCTGGCCCTGGCTCTGCTTTTCTGGTCCAACAAGCCTTAGAAAGTCCTTGCTGTGCAGCATCAGCAGCAAAAGGGGTGAGTGCCCATCAACATGGATGAGGTGCTCCAACCATGAGTACGTTAGAGAGCAAAAGGAGTACCATGGCCACGGTTTTAACAGAAGGCAGCGGCTGCCACCGCATTTCATGAGGGGCCTAATCCTGTCCGTGCACTTAAGGTATGTCTTGAAAGCTCCTGTTGGGTTGGTCCACCTGGGGAGCATGGAGGGATGCTTCATTTCTTGTTTCTGGTGGGACTGAAGTGAATGCTGACTTGCTAAGTCTTGTTAGTAGTTCTGTGAGCTCTGGTAGTTTTGAGTAGGAGCAGTTGTGAGGGTCCTGGCAAGCTTTAAAGAAGAATGGTTGGAGATTGGGATGCTTTTAGGCTCAGGGATGGCAAAGTGGGTGGTTTTTTTTTTTTTTGGCGTGAGCAAACTACTCTGCCTGAGTCTCAGATGGGGTGCCTGAGTGTATTAAGGGACCTTGCTGTGCTGATCATGTCAGATCCTCCAGCTTGCTTAAATAAGTGTCATCAGAAGAGCCTGTAACTATTTCCACTTGGAAAACAACTGATTACGCCTCTGTAGAGCATCCTCCTCTGGCTCCAATTAGAGGCTGACGCCTCTGTGACTTGATGTATTTTGTGTGTGAATTCTTGTTAATTGAGCATGTAAATGTGTAATTGTCTGTACAATTATCCAATTTTTTAGTTTTGTGTACAAATAGAGGGTCGCAGTTGTGCAGTTGGGCCAATTTTCCAAAACCTGATTAAATCTGTGCATCGAGCGTACAGATGTGAAGACCCTTATAAGATTGATCTAGTTGTGATAACCTTCTTTTCTTTTGTTATGTAGATATGCTAATCTGAGTGTGTTCATCTGAGTCTGTTCCGTGTGACCTCTGTCCTTTTTCCCATTAAATACATGGAGTGTTTCATTGGTGTAGGAAATGGTAGTTACCATAAAAATTGTTCAGAGGATGATGAATGTATATACTGGCTTTTAGTGGAGTTGAATCTTGTGCTTACAGTGGTTGGTGCTATAATACCTTTAAAATGGTTGTATTCTGTATGAAATACCAATTTGAAATGTCGTTTGGGTTTTTTGGGGTTTTTTTAGAGGAAAGCCTACTTAAATAATGGGAATTGTTGGCAGTTGCCAGTCCAGTGCCACTTCTGAGAAGGAAAAAATGCCATTAAATTGGCAAATAATGCTTGAAGTTTTCTCTGCACTCAGTGGTTTCTCTGTTTGGAAGCTGCTGATTTGCAAAGGATGAGTGATCTAGCAGTTTTGACTTTGCAATTCTTGTCTGTTGCAGTGAATAACACCCCGAACGGGTCGTGTTTGAGGTCTGCAATGTTCATTTACTGGGAAAGAAAACACAGTAATACGGCTTTTCTTTTTAACATGTCCTTTTGTGTAGATTTAAACACTACCTTTAGTCTTTTTCAGGTGGCTTTACTGGGAAGTTAGCTTCAATAACATGCAAAAAGTTCCTGAACAGTGATAGAGCTGTGCCATGGATGTGATTGACAACTTTATCTGGCCAAGGATAGTCTGTTCTTATCCATAGACCCACAGAATGGTTTGGGTTGGAAGGGGCCTTTAAAGATCATCTAGTCCAACCCTCCTGCCGTGGGCAGGGACATTTTTCTCTAGCCCAGGTTGCTCAAAGCCCCATCCAGCCTGGCCTTGGACCCCTCGAGGAGGCTTTGCCTCCCAGGCTGACGGTGGTGTGGTAAATAACACCTTGGGCAGGGGTGTGAACAGCGTCAGAGTAGGGGATGCGGTTTTAACCTGAGTGCCAGCCCCTCCCCTAACGCCCTTTTCTCTCTGTCTCTCTGCAGATGTCGCTCCTATGAGGACTGCTGTGGTTCAAGATGCTGTGTAAGAGCTCTCTCTATCCAGCGACTATGGTATTTTTGGTAGGTCAGGGCATTTGGGAATTTTATGTGTGTCCTGTTCTTGTCTTGTTTGTAGGACTTAAATCAGGGTATTGCCAGCCCTAGTATTTTGAAGTAAAGTAGGGACAAGTGCGCAGTAATGAATATGCGTACATATAAATCCAAAGACTTTGGTTTTTTGCTTATGAAATTCTCCTGATGTAGTGAGAAAACACTGAAAAAGGAGGTTACTCATGTCAGGTTGACCTTTCCTGCTTCTGCATCCTGCCAGTCTATCCAGGCAGCGGTCCTGTTTTTATCCAAAATTGATGAATTCCTTATGCCTGTCCCAGCTACTACCAAGTCACAGCATCTCTCTGTTTTTGTTGGGCGCTCAGTTTTAAAAGAGAATTGTGGAAGGAGGATTGTGCATTTAGGCAGGGTTTAAGATAGTCTTGCCAGCTGAATCGAGGCTTCAATTAAAAAGGAAGAAAAGTACATTTATGACTAGGAGGATTTCACTGGAGATGACAGCAAGGGAAAAGAAGGCAGAAAGATTTGAGCTTGTGAAACCAGCAGCTCAGTAATCTGGATAAAGCTTAAACTACTCACTGTTACTTGCATAATGAAAAAATAAGGTAAATTCATTTTAGAGAGGAACTTAAGAAAGCACCTGAGTCAAACCTCATTACACTAGAAAGGAAAAGCTCTCCTAGAAAACCTGATTTCAGGCATTTTTATATAGAATTGGAAGACTGTTTAAAAAAAAGCCTTCAAAATTGAAAAAAAAACCCACTGAAAAACAGAAGCCTGATATATTCTATAATACGGAGATTTCCTGAAGCTGACTGTGGGATTTCAGTGTACAATCCTTACTGATATAACTGAAGAGCTCTGCATCTCAATCCCTGGGGTGATGTCATAAATCTCTGGTTTTCTCTTCAGAACAAATCCTTTGCAGGAACGCTGCCAAAAGGGAATGTATTAATACTGGCTCAGGGAAACAGGACCTCCTTCTGCTCTCATTTCCACTGTAGAAACAAGAACAGAATTTGACCCTTTGCATGAAACACATCTTGCTGCCATGCAGTGTCACGGTCTTCCTCTCAGGCACCTGGGAATGCTCCAAGGGAGATAAGGTGGTGTGTAGGCTTGTCTCTGGCCAACTGGCAAACTTCCATCCCTTCCAAAGCAGCACAGTTGTCACTGTCTTCCAGTAAAGGGCCCTGAAATGGGGTAGCAGTTACAGGCAGAAGAACTATTTGGGTTTATGGGAGCTTGCAGCAGTCACCAGCATGACTGATGACTAATCAAGGAAACGCAGTGAGAGCCATTGTCTGAAGAACAAAATCCTGGTGTATGCACACGTTTCCACAGCACCAGGGCAAGGGAGTGCTGAGGACAGTTTAGTCATGTCAGAAAAGGAGAAGAACTGAAGCAAAATGATGTCCTTTTCCTTCAGAATGTATGTCCTGTCCAGGAAGCACAAAGCAAAGCTTGTCATCTTCAGTGCTGAATGCTTCTTCAGTCTTCTAGGTTAAGCTTAAATGCCAGCCACCGTTTTTCCCATGGGAGGAAAAAATTACAGCGCTGAGTAATTTAAGAACATCTAAGAATCTTCTTTTAAGGGCAACTGCAGAATAGTATTCCTCTTTGTCTCCCGAAAACCTCCTAGCCAGCCTCAATGGTGTGAGTGTGAGGCTTGTGTCCAAGAGACACAGTTTGAAACTCTAACGAGCTGGAATTTCAGTGCAGCATCCCGGTGGCAAAGGTCAGGTATGAACCTGAACTTTCCAAAAGTTCAAGGGTGTTTTAGTTTCAGATTTGTATTTTACATGCCAGAAAACATCAGACAATAGTACTAATCGCTAAAGATGTCGGTAATATATCCATAAGTGCCCCACGAGTGCTATCTCAGATGACATAGACCTGCTCTCAAGAGACAACCTAGTTAAGAAACTCCAATAAAAGTCGTAGGCTGATGATTTCTAGGTGATACTCATGTTTCTCTCAACAAACAGTCTGGGATTGAGAGCTGCCTGAATGCAGGTGGGGGTTTTGACTTCCCTCTTCTCTTTGCCTAGGTTCCTTTTGATGATGGGAGTTTTGTTCTGTTGCGGAGCTGGTTTCTTTATCCGAAGGCGAATGTACCCTCCTCCACTAGTAGAAGAACCTACTTTTAACGTGTCTTACACCAGACAACCAGTCAACACCGCATCAGGTCAGAGACTGCTCGTTAAACAAGTCTCACTAATTTCTTACATTTGCAAAGGCATTTAAAAAGGGTGGGGTTGGGGGTTTTGTTTGGTTGGTTTTTTCAGAATTTGGAGAAGGGGTTGCACTGCACTGAACCATGCAGACATCTCCTGTGATGAGTGGTCTTCCGCCTTTCAAACAGCGTAATTCAGCTGCAGTGTACAGATGTGTTTTTGAAACCCAGGATAACAGGACTTTCCGTTCCCTTCTGGTGTGGTTCCTATGATCTTTACAGCTGTGTGTCCACGCATGGAAGAAGGCGAGCAAGTTCTCACTTTGTAGCATAGACAAAATGATAGGTATCCAAAATGAACGGTGACATGAAGAAAGAGTTTTGAATACAGCTGGTAATATCTGGCGAAGGTGAAGGAAAACCTTTTTTCTTCCAGGATCTGGCTATCTTGCAAGTCTTCTCTTCTTGGCTTGCCTTCCATGCTCTGTGCTACAGTTTTTCCGCAGCAATGTGGTCCTTCTCCCCTCGTTAGGTCTCTGTGGTCAGTGATGGCTGTGAGCATCGGGAGGACCTACCTACTGGCAATACTACTTTCTAAGTTTGTAATGTCTTCCCCTTTGGCTTTTAAAGAGTCCCCAGTTGGGAGAATCCTGCAAAATAAGACTCACCTGTAGGCAGAAGATGTTTGTGCCTTATGGGAGCATTTTGAATCCAAGTCTCTCTAGTTGGAAGACCTTCTGCAGTGCTGCGATTATATCTGAGTGCACCCTCAGGTGCTTGCCTTCTCCCTGCCTCAGCAAGGCCAGACTTGAGACATTTTTAACCACTCTCCAGATTGTGTAAGCTAATTTGTGCCAGGGAAAGCGCGCACGCACGTACACACACACGGTACACCGACGCTTTTCCTTCTGGGCTGTCATTTTATAACAAGTTGTATGAGAGAGAGCTGAAACCAGAGGATAATCACCTTTTCTGACAACTTATTTTGGAATTGGCAATTTGTTTTTTGTTTCATACTGGCTTGGAAGTGGAAATACAAGTGAGCATTTTGTAATGAGAAGAGGGATCTCTCTGAAAATTTGGTGCCCCAAAGCCTCTCTATCAAAAATTGTCTTCTGAACCATTACATCTCTGTGCAATACTGCGGCTGCATGAAGACAGACTCTGTAGAAAAGTGTCCTAAACCCCTGTCTAGCTAGCTGGGACTATGACTGTTGTGCAGACATGCAGGATTCAGGCTCTCTCCCCTCTGGTGCCTGCTTTTGCACACTCCCCTGCCTTGCGCAGACTTCAGAAATGCTTTTCCTTACATCCTTAAGCATGTACCCGTAGACATGCATTTCCCCCATCTCTCTCACAGGTATAAATGGATAAAAAGATGTTACAGACACAAACTAACATTTTATTCACCCCTTTAAAAAAAAAAATCCTAAGGGTTTTTTTAGGGCTTCCATTCTGCATCTTTTTTTTTTTTTCTGCTTGACTGAACAAGCATTTCCACAGACAGTATTTATTTTTCAACAGTGGGAAAGGAGCCAAAGTAACTAAACTATATTTTTAAGCGTGAAAAATAGCCTCCAGATGATGTGAACAGGGAGCATCTTTGGCTGGATTGGCCAATACCGAATTTAATTTTAGAGCGTGGTTTTAGTTTTTCATGGAACGCAAATTGTGGGGAAATATAAAATAAGCACAAGCCCTTTGGTGACCTGGTTACACCACCTGCTTCGAGACTGCTCGTACTGTTTCTTAAAACTTTGGGCTCTGAGCTAACCCCAACATTTTTTTTTTTCTACTATTCTAGGAATATTCAACAGCAAAAGCAATTGGAATTCATAGTCAAACAAGCTCCCACTCTCCTCTAGCTCCTCTCCAGATTTGGTAGGGGTAGCCAGCTCATGGTTGAGGTGGAGCCCCTGAAACGTGGCTCCTTGCCCACCTCCCTCCTTCCCTGCCGTGATAACGGCAGCGTCTTCTGCCATCCCAGCAGCAGCCTGGAGGTGGGAGTGCTTTTTCTGTGGGCCTGACTGGGAAAACTGATTGAACACCTCGCCTACAGACAGCAGCTTGTAGACCCGGAGGTGTCTTTCACTTTAGGTCTGGCCTAATTCAATTCAATAATAATACACGGAAGTTTTAATGCAAACTGTTATTTTCCTAAGGAGCAAGCTGCAGTGAGCTACCTCAGCCTCTCCCATTTCCCCATGGGGATGGAAACTGCAGAAATGCAGAGCTGGAAGCTGGGCAGGATTTAACTTTAAAACAAAAATGCTTCAGAAAAGCTACAAAAGCCCAAACTTTGGAGAGGTAGGACTCGGCTCCTGTTCCCAGCCTGGCTCTCTTGCAGCACATGCGGATGCTGTACGTGGAAGCAGAACAAGGGCTTCTCGTTGCTGCAGCAAAGGAGGAGCTGCCCTCTCGCTCAGACAGGCAAAAGGAAAAGTCCTTGCGGTGGTGTGTTAAAAATGACTGTGTTAAGAAGGAGATAGTTGCATTCCAGATCTGCTTTCCATCCTCTTTGCTCCCAAGTGTACAAACAAAGTTCCCTGGGCAGACATCCCAGGTGCTGGGACAGTTTGCATCCCCGTGCCTTGTGGCTTGACCCATCTGATTTAATATTGTAAGGACACGTTTTTTGGGTTCAGTATGTAGCTCCTTCCTGAATACTTGAAGTACTAAAGGATGCTTCAGGAAGCCTGTGTTCCTTCTGTGGCAATCCTGAGTCCTGGTGTCATTAAGTCATGGAAAGAAATGGTTGAGTGGAAAATCCCTTAGAAGCTGTGTCGTTATAGGAAAAACAGACTGGCACAAAAAGAAGAAAACCTGTTGCTCAGCCATGATTTTTTTTTTATTTTTTTTTTAGTCCAGCTTTATTTAAAACAGAGAGAAAGAGAAGAAAACTAGTTTACATCTTGAGCTAGAGAGAGTCTGTGACTTTAATTGCTGGAATTGCATTAAGTCACCTTCCACCACCCGCTGTGATATCCGAGGAGAGCTACACGCCACCTTTGTTTTTCCTCCTGGCAGCGGGCTCTGTTACTCCTCATGTGTCACGGCTAAGGAATTCTGCCTTTGATCGTACATTTCCTTTCCGTGTCCCTGCAGACTCCAGCATCATTTCCTAAATTTAATCTGTGCAAAGCAATCTTGTCCCATTGTGTCAGCCAGCCGTAATTGGCTTCAGCTTGGGTTCTTGTTTCATCGGTGTTTACTCCTTAGCCGTATTGTGCCTCGAAGGGAAATGACCAGTTTGAGATGCACTCTGTCGTACAAGCAGATCCAGTACGTGACAAAATAACCTCTGAAGTCCTCTTGTAAGACTTGACACCGGAGTGAGGGTTGCAGTGGTTTGTCCATGTGGGATCCCGTCTCTCCTCTCTGCAGGCACGGCAGCTTTTCTCTCTGGGCTCGCTGGTTTCCCTTTCCAATGGTAGTTGCTGGAGGCAGTAGCACCCTTTGTTTCACTAAACAATTCCCATTACGTGCCAAATTGAATTTTTTGGGTGATATCTCAAGAAGTGAATATTGTCCTGCAAGCCTGGGTTTGCTCTGGAATGGGAGAAAGGTCCTTGTCCTTGCTCTGATAAACACTTTGAGAAAACTTGTCCTGAGTGTACAGAGCAAAAACCCTGGAAGAGCACGACCGCTGCCTGATGCTTCTGCCATTGTTGATGCCTTTTCTCTCCTTTTCTTTCTTTCAGGGTCACAACAACCTGGAGTGCCGTATTACACAGATCCAGGTGGACCTGTGATGAATCCCATGGCTATGGCTTTCCACGTCCAGCCCAATTCCCCACAAGGAAACCCGGTTTACCCACCCCCACCTTCCTACTGCAACACACCACCTCCCCCTTACGAGCAGGTGGTGAAATCCTCCACGTGAGGACTCTCTGGCTCTCTGACCTGACTGTGTGAGAAGAAGGTGCTGTTGCAAAATGACCGAGATGGGGAGCATCCACCCTTTTGAACACTTGCTAGTTCTCCAAGTCCTCTCTCCCTCCCTTCCCTGCACCTTTCCTCATTAAAGTTACTTGCAAAGGGGTGATTTTTAAATTTTTTTGCTTTTTTTTTTTTTTTAAAGTGGAAGTGGATTTTTTCTTTGTCTTCAAAATGAGAGAAGTTGTCTTTGTAATGCTTTTAATGGAAACCTATATTTAAAACCTCTATGTCTTTCTCTTTATTTATCGTTTGTTTCAATCATGAGTTGAATTGCGCTGTGGCAGTCTGCTGCTGGCAGTTCTTTATGCAGCCCCGGAGTGATGTGAGCTCTCATAAACCCCGTACCAGAAATGCCCTCATCTAAGGGAAATGACAGAGAAAGAAGGTAGAAGTAGAGGAGGCAGGGTAATGCTGTTACCAGAAATGGTGGCCACCATCTTTTCCATTTACATTTTTTCTTGTAAAATTTGGTTCTGGTGCATAACAGGGAGATGCTGTGATAGAAGCCCGTGAGTGACTGGAGCACCAGCATTGGCTGAGTCATGGCAGGGGCTTTGCCAAGGGAGCTAGGAAAAAGGGAGTCATTGCGTTAAACAATGCTTCTAAAAGCAAAAGACTGGGACTTGAGTGTTTCTTGGCCAGCACCTGGGCTTGGCCTCTGTGATGGGCATCCTGACTCCACTTGTTTTGCTGATGTTGAGAAATGTGGGTAGTAAGAGGGAGGGGTTATAACCTCAGAGCTACTTGTGCCTCTCAACAGAACAGTTAGAAACACTGAAATACGTAGGTTAAGTTTTTTCTTCTCTAAATTGGAAAATAATGATGGTAAGAAGGAATGGGAGCACACTTCCAGGTCTTGTCCCTGAGAAATAGTAGCTTTCGTTGTGGTCTTACTGCTGCCACAAAGCATACCAAGGACAGCTGTCATCTGAAGGTGGCAGATCTGTAAAACTGCTTTTCTTTCTAGGGCAGGCAAATAAAGAACTTTTTGGGACTGGTGCTTAAGAGCAGTGCCTTGACCCAATGCACAGATGGTTTGGCTTGCAACGACTCTTGGCTTTTCATGTGTTTTGCTGTGAGTGGCCCCAGGATTCCCAATTCACCATCTCATGCTCGTGGCCGATTCTCTGAGTGACCTCAAGTCAAGACATTCAAATAACCCCAGAGCCCCTTTCCCTGGGAAGGCTCTAACACCCATCTGTGTCTAGACAAAATGTGAAGCTGCCCTGAGACATGACTGCTACTCGTGGGACCTTCTCCCTCCACGTGCATTCAGAGCCCTGTCACTAATGAGTGACAAAAAGAAGATGCCATCGCCTTCTACCGCTGCAGGACCTGCAGAAAGAGCATTGCTGAGGGTTAGGAGTCCAATGCGGTCCTTTGGGTACTGGGCGGATGGATTTGCAGACCGGGCAGAAAAGAGCATCCCTTTTATTATGAACGTGAGTCTCTAACAGAAGAACAGCTAAGGGTTACTGTTTCTAAAAGCTGCTGGTGGAGTTAGGAGCCATCTGGAGCAGAGGTAGCTTTTGAGGAGCTCATTCCTGCAGCAGTCTTGGGTGAAATGGTAGCTAAGGTTTTCACTTACTGTGCATCATCATAAGGGACAAAGCGAAGTACTTCTGTATGTGCAGTGTAGGCTCGGCGGACACTTCAGGTAACAAAAAAGTACATTTGCTGTATGGTTCCTAGGTCTGTCTGCACACCACGGCTGTATTTATTTTCTCAGTCAGTGTGCACTTGAAGTTTCAAGCTGTGTCTGTCACTGAATATGGCTGTGTATACACAATATAATTTTTTTAAAAGCAAATCCAACCTTTCTTTTTCTGTCAATAGAAATGACAACAGACCTTCTGTTAGTAGGTAGATGTTGTTGAAGCCTTTTATCGTGAATGCTTACACTGTACATTGAAATGCAACTTTTGGTGAAGTTTTCCTAAGTCTGGCTGGTTTATTTGCTAGTGTTAATGGATGACCCTGCCTCTTACAACATGTGCACACCTCCGCCAGCAAACATGCTTGTTCTTCTCTTGAAAAGACAGCACCTGCGTGGGCATCCATATGACTTACATGCAAACTTGTTTATAGAATCACAGAATCATTAAGGT